AACCCTCAGTTCAACAAAGATTACTGTACCCCTTAAGCGGTAGGCTTACAAAAACAAAGGCATTGGCCCTCAAGGAACTTCCTTGGGTGGTGGTTGATGGGAGATTAGGAGGTAGGAGGCAGAGGCATTTATATAATGCTTATTGTGTGCCAAGCACCATGCTAACCACTTTTACAGGCATTATTTCATTTGATTTTCACAACCTAGTAAGGTAGGTGACATCATTATCATTATTTTACAACTGAAGAAACTGAGGCATATAGAATATGTACAACTAGTGCATGCACAACTAGTAAATGTCTGAGGCTGGATTTGAATTCATTTTCCTGACTCCAGGCCCAGAGCTCTAACCACTTTGCTTTTAGTTGCCTGTAAGAGATGAAATAAAACTGGAACCCAGATAAATATAAAATAAAGTCATTGGAGGAGAGAGTGCACCAACAGTGGTGGTGGTGGTCAACTGGGGGTTGGAAAAACTTCACCTAGGAAGGAGGGGCTGAGCCTGGCCTGAGCCTTGAAGTACTAAGTACTCAGGAGTCTTCTGAGAGGCGGAGGGAGTGGTGCATTCTAGGCAGGGGAACAGTTTGTGCCAGACCGTGGAGGAAGGAGATGGAACATGAGTTCAGGAGACAGTTAAGCAGCTCAGCCTTCCTGGAACACGGAATACCTGAGAGGCAATAATATGCAATGAGGGCGGAATGAGACGGGCATAAGCATTGGTGCACCACAGCCCTCATGGGGCAGCTGGAAGTAAAGCACAAGATAAATCTTCAGGTGCTAGAGGATTATGATGTATTTATCAAACCAGGGTTCCTGGGGTGGATCTGATCCTGGTCTCCCCAGGAACAAAGATCAGGCAGGAGTGAGAGAACGTCAGGGACAAAACAAGGGATCTAGACAGAATCAGGGCGACAGTGGTTGCCCATAGACCCTGAAATGATGCTGGGAGTGGGAATCAGACTTGCCTGGACCCTATCCCCAACCTAGGGTTGGAGCTCTGGGTCGCCCCCATTGCGTCCCTGTACTCACTAGGCAGGCAAGCCCTGAGAATGTCCTTAAGGTCCTGGAACTGACTTTGGGACAGGGAGAGATGGAGGAGCCAGGGCTGCCCTCAGAGCCACAACTGGGATGTGGGTTCCTTTCCATGGCAAGGATCAGGTGAGAGCCAACTAGCACCTGGGCCTGATAGAACTCTAGAGTAGAAGTAAGGAGTCCTAGTCTATCTTCTGACCTTGGCTTCACTAGATTGGCTGCATGGGCATGGACCTGTTTCTGTATAAAATGAGGTGGTTGGACTCCAAGGTCCCTTCCAGCATATAGAAGGCTCACGTCCCTAGAGCGTACTGGTCATTCATCTTCTCAGCTTGACACCGGCTGCTTTCTGAGGACTCCCAGGGAACAGCCATTGAATAAGGGAGGGTCGCTCCCATGTGGGCTCCTAGAAGACACTACTTTGGAGGCAGAAGGTTCTGAAGACCTCTGAGGAGCAACCTTTCTAGGATCATAGAACCTCAAAGCTGGAAGGAACCTTAGAGGTCATTTAGGACAACTCCCTCCTGAATAAGAATGCCTTCAACTTCATAGAGTCATGGGATTTAGAGCAGGAGAGGGCCATGGAGATAAGAGGCCAATGTCGCCCTAACAATAATTATCTAATAATAATAAGCAGGGCCAGGATTCAAACCTGGGTCATTTGACTCCAAATTCTGTGCTTTCCCCACTTCATGAAATCTCCTGTGGGAGGGCCTGGCCCTGAGATCATCATTACCATCATAATTGTGAAGAAGAAAGAACATGAGTTCTGTGAGTTTTGGGAAAGCATCTCCCCAGATAAAGAAAGCTCCAACGACAAAGAAACTGAGCTATGGGGTTGTATCAATGAGACCCTTAGACTACATTTTATTCTTCATTTTACTGGCAACAAGAAGAAGAGCCAGATTAATTCTGTCTTGAAAGAGGTATCCTCTATCTTAGAGATTATTACTAACTATATGGTGGGTGAGATTTTCCCTGGGTTCTCATGGAACCCAAGCTGGGAAACTCCTACACCACCACCACCACCACCACCATTATCACCATCACCATCGCACATTTATGAAGTGCTAACTGTGTGCTAGGCACTGTGCTAAGCACTAGGGGTACAAAGAAAGGCAAAGAAAAAACAATATCCCTGCCCTCTGAGAGGTCACATTCTAATAGGAGAGATAACATGCAAATGGCTATGTAATACAACGTATATACAAGAAAAATGGGAGGCGATCTCAGAGGGAAAAGGCTAGGGAAGCCAGGAAGCAGAGGTGAGGAGGAAAAGCATTCTAGGAATGGGGGACAGCTGGTGAAAAGGAGATGGAGCACCCTGTGTGAGCACAAGGAGGCCAATGTTATGGAGAAGTCAGATAGAAGAGGAATGGAAGGGTAAGGAGGGGCCAAGTTATGAAGCCAAACAGGATTTTCTATTTGATCCTGGAGGTAATAGGGAGCCACTGGAATTTATTGAGTAGGGCCGTGACATGGCCAGCTCTTCAGGAAGATGACTGACAGCTGAGTAGAAGATGGACTGCACTGGGCGTATTTGAGGCAGGGAGACCAATCAACAAGCCTCTGCAGTGGTAGCTTGTCTCTCTCAGCTCTAGCTTTGGGATAGGGGTCACATCTGTAGGAACTCCTTTCCAGGCAGCTCTCTGATGTTCATAAATGTCCACAAACACTTATTAAGTGAATACTATGTGCCAGGCACTATACTAGGGTGGTCAATAAAAAGAAAAGCAAGATAGTCCCTGCTCTCAAGGAGCTCACGTTTTACCGGGGAGACAATATATGTAAATATGGACAAAATAGATTAGATGGAAGCAAAGTTGGGGGTAGGACAGCATATCTCAGGGCTAACTGGAGCTCCCAGCCCACTGCTTAATTTTTGAGACTGCTTCCATCTGTGGGACGGAGCCAATGGAGCAATCACTCCGGCTAAAGATGTGTCCGGGGTAAATTGGGCTGATGGCGGAGAAAGAAGGACAAACAGTTCAGGACTCCGCATGTGTGCAGCTTTGTGGGAACATATCCTCTCTGTCATGGATGCCCCTCTAGCTAGTGCCTGGAACCTCATCCTTTCCTCCATCTCAGTTTCTTATCTCGCCCAAGGCTTGTGGAGGGTTGAATCTGAGGTAGCGATCACTTTAAGGAAAGAGGGCTCAAATACTTCTTTTGAATTTCAAGCTTTATCAAGCTGCCACTCTGGACTGGCCATTTCCATGGGATTCACAAATATATGAAAAAGAATGAAGATGGAAGCTTTAGTCCCTAATGGTGTTATGTAGGAATGAAGGGAGCTGTCAGTCCTGGCAGGGGAGGAAAGGGCAGCTTGTGGGAGGCAGGCTGTCCAAAGAGGTAGAGGGAATTACAGGGAGGCAAGTGGGGCTGGAGGAAGGACCATTTCAAGATCAGATGTGGAAGCTAGGATTGTCCCCCAGCCCATCTCCGAGACTCAGCTTTATGCTGTTACTCTGGCCTGTTTGTTTGAGGGACAGCCCTGGAAGAAGGCTCCCCAGGCTTCCCTAACCCTGGGAGTACTAGGTTGGGGATTCTAGCTGGCTAAGCTGGTACCTCACTGTTACAGCCGATATTCAAATCCAGGTCTCCTGACTCCTCTTTGAGAGGCAGGAGATAAGTCTTTACAGGTACAGTTAAGTAGGTCACTTCTCCCTTTCTGGGTCCCCATGCTCTATTACATGCCCTCTGCTTTCTCCATCGGGAGACCCTCCCACCCCACTCTGGGTCTGACCACCCACAAGTGCCCAAGGCCAGTTTGCTTGATCTGAAACATGGCTGGATCTGGATTCATTCCTTTACACAAACATGCACCGTTAAGACACCCACATCAGTCTCTCCCTATTGGTTCTTGAGCAAAAGATGTGAAGATTGGGAGCCAAACTCTTTCCCTTCTGTGTCTTCTTTGAGTAGAGACCAGCTGGGAAGCCCTTCTTTCCTGTTTAGCAGAGACCAGGAAGGACAGGAAATGAGTGGGGGTAGCCAGTAGCTCCAGTCATGGAGACAGAAGAAAGGAGATGAGGGAGAGGCGATGTGGAGTGTGGTATATTATAAAGTATACTGCATCAGGAGTTAGAAGACTTGAGTTTGAATACTGTCTTGAGTGTTTACCAGTATGTGACATGGGATGAGTCTCTTCTTTCCCTGCCTCATTTTCCCCACCTGTAAAATGAGAGGGTTGGACTAGATGAAATCTAAGATCCCTTTTCTGAGCCAAATGTTTATGGCCCTATGAGCTAGTGGGGCTTAGACTACCAGGGGATATCTTTCCAGCTCCTTACCCCAACCTGGAGTTCATTTCCCACTCTCATTCCTAATTCCATGTCAGAGACTCACTTCCTACTTAACAGTGCTCCTACTTTAGGCCACGGAGCTGAGAGGTAAGGGAATCACTAATGAGGGGGAGATTTTGTCATGTTTTCATTCTACATATCCAATTTTTAATTTTGGATGTTTAAGCGGTCTGCATGGGGGGGGGCACAAAGGAAAGTTGGAGGGGGAACCTCCCTGGTATACCTAGACACCATTGTCTGCTTTGTCTTGGGGTCAAATTGTCCCAAACTGAAGTCCACCAAACAGTTTCTCTCCCTGACTCCAATGCTATCCCATGGTTGGGGGTGAAATTGGGGGTGGGCAGCCTTGGTAGGAGGACTCAAAGGGGTGAGGGATATCTGGGTTTGATAGAGGAAAGATCTTTTAAATTCTTAGCAATAAGAGCTGCTCTACAAAAAGAATGGGCTGTCTCCATAGGCAGTGAGCTCCCCATTGTGGCAGGTATCCAAGCAAAAACTGAATGATCACACACTGATGGAGATGTTGCTGCTGAAGGAGGGTTTCACACAGAGGCCCTCTGAGGTCCCCTCCAGTTTTGACATTTTAGGACTCTATGATTAGTACCATCATAAAGGAAGGCTCTGGAAGAGTGAGCAGTAAATGAAAGAGGCTGGGCTCTCAGAGACAGTGAAAACTACTCCATTCAAGCTTTATTGTTCCCTCTCTGGGCCTGGGGAAACCCAGAATGCACACTCCCATCCCTATCCTGAACAGGCTTGCAGAGGTAAGGCTTCAGGCTGGGATGGGGAGAGAAGTCTGAGGCTGGTCAGCCCAATCCAGCCCCAGGCCTACAAGCCCAGGTCCCTTTCATTGGCTCAGAAAGAAGCCCGCTCCTCCTTAGCCTCCGTGGGGATGTAGGGCAGCTCTGGGGGTGGGGGGGGTGGGGGGTGGAGGGGTCCCTCAGCTCTCTCCTCAGGGGTACCTGCATAGCAGAAACAGAGCCTTTCCCTAGTATCCCCCATCACTCTGGCTTTCTAAGGCCTTAGCAGCCAGTCCAGGGACACTGGCTCAGGATAAAGGCTGTTGAGGAGAAAGATCATTAAGCCCACCCCCAAATCTTCAGCAGAGATTCTATCTTTCTTCCTCCTCCCTCAGGTCCAGCAGAGGTGGGGACAGAGATGAGATGGATAAACAAGGAAAGGGTCCTAGTCCAGGCCTATGGAGTCCATGCTGCATCAGATTCTGGGAGATTTCTCATGACAACCGAATCCTCAGACAGTCTGCAGACCAGTCATCCAGGCCATCTGACGAATGTGAGCCAGACCCGGCTATGTTGCTAGGACGTGCCCATTGGCCAGCTTGCTGGACCCAGTCCCCCGAGCGCCCCTGGCCCGGGGGAGGTTACAAGTGTCTGTTTTGTCACTGGGCTGGAGCCTCCCATTCTTCTGTCGGGGTGCCTCAGAATGCTCATCACTTGTGTTCTGTTCTTCCAAGTCACTCCTTATGTCATTCTGCATCTGAAAACCAGAGGCCAAGAGGAAGCACCGAGAGGGATGAGAGACAGGGAGGGAGGGAGGGGGGTGGAGGGGAAGAGGGAGAGAGGGAGAGAGAAAGAGAGAGAGAGAGAGAGAGAGAGGGAGGGAAGGAAGGGGGGGGAAAGGGGGGGAGAGAGGTGGAGGAATGAAAAGAGACAGACAGCGATGGGGAAAGGAGAACAGATCAAGAAAGAAGGGAAGAGTGGAGACAAGGGGAACAAAAGAGACAGGCAGAGATGGAGAAAAGAACCGGGAGAGACAAGCAGAGAAATGGGGGAAAAACATGCAAGGAAAGAGATGAGAAGAGAGATGTAGGGAGAGACAAAAGGGGGAGATTGTCAAGGGCTCAGGATGAGACACCTTGCCTGGACCACCTGGGTGCCTACTGGCACTAGGATGCCGGGCCCGAGTCTCTACCTTTTCCACCACCCAGACTTCCCTGAGTTCAGTTCCCAGGCTTCCTGTTCACTTGCCCCTGCTCTGTCTGAAATGGGCCTAGGACAGGAGGCTCTCTAGGTACTTGAGCATCAGGGGCCAAGGCCAGGGATACAGCCCAGTTCCAGATCTGTACATACCCTGCCAGCTAAAACAAACTTGTAGACCATACGGAGGATGAGGCCGGACCAGAAGACATGGAGAACCTGAAGGACCATGAGGAGGGTATTGAAGAAATAATATCCAAAGAAGGGCTGGAATTTGATCATGGAATCATAGTAGGTAGTGTAGAGGATTCTGCAGGAGAGAGAGGAACTTGGGTCACTGTGGGGCCGAGCTCCAAGAGACCTGTCCAACGCTTGGTGAGGGCTTGGTCTCTAGACAACGAGAGAGGATGGAATAGAAGTCCCAAGATGCAGGGGAAGAGCATCCTGAAAGACCCCTGGACTCTTCTGGTCTGGCCAGGGCCCTGCTCTGTACTATTATTAGGCAGGAGCCACACTTCTCTTTGGAGGGACAGCTCTGGGCAGCAGAAGGTCCTAAATGAGGAGGGTTTGGGGCCCCAGGGCTCTCCCATGGATCACATATTAAGTCCCCCTATGCCCACACCACCCCATCTCTTGAGACCAGGCTCACTTGGTTGGGAAGAGAATGAGCCGGCTAACGATGAACACCAGGGCAAAGATGACGAAGAGTGTGTCACAGATAAGCCTCCGCTGTGCATAATTAAACATTTTACAGGCCTGGGAGGGGAGGGAAGAGAGAAAGAGAGAGAGAATTTTAGAACCATCTAATATTAAGATTTGGGAGGGGCCTCTGAGGGTATCTAGTCCAACCCATACTGGACCAGGAATCCCCTTCAGAACTTGACAAGTGGTCATCCTGGATCTGCTTGACGCCCTCAGATCATGAAAACTTACTACTGGGGACAGCCCATGCATTTTACTTTCAGATAACTCTTATCCTTAGGAAGATTTTCTTTATACCCAGCCTCCAACTGCCTCTCTGAAACTTTCCCTCGTTGTTCCAAGGTCTGGTTTCTTAGGCAATCCTGAACAAGTAACCACTTTTTATCAAGTCTTCTAATTCCTTCATTCGATGCACATTTGCCACGGTCCATCTGGCATTCTGGTCCACCACTCCAATTCTTTTGTTCCTAAGATGCAGGCCTCAATCTTGTCTCTTCCCATCACCGTACACAACGCTCAGTATGTGGTCTGACCAAGGCAGAGCCCAGAGAGGCTGTTACCTCTCTCATTCTGGACACTGGGCTCTTCCAAATGCAGCCCAACATCTCATTGCCCTCTCCTGGGCCCCCTGCTGGGGCCTCCACATCCCACTGCTGATTCATACCGAGCTTGCCATCCACCAAAAGCCCCCGGGGATTTTCAGAGCCTAATTACACCTCCCCTATCTTGTACTTGGAAACTTGACAGGATAACTACATGCTGGTTAAGATTTTGAGGGACCAGGGCAGCTAGGTGGCACAGTGGATAGAGCCCCGGCCCTGAAGTCAGGAGGACCTGAGTTCAAATCCGGCCTCAGACCAAACATTTGACACTTAGTAGCTGTGTGACCCTGGACAAGTCACTTATTGCCTAAAAAACTGCCTAATTGCCAATTGCCTAAAAAAAAAAAAAAAGATTTTGAGGGACCCCGACCATCATCTAGTCTGTTGGAATTGTACCCTGCAATTTGTCTTCTGCAGATTTACTAAGCTACCTCTCCTACTTTTATGGAACCTCTGCAGGTTTCCCTGAGTTAATACCTGCCCTGTTCTCCCTTCTTTCAGACTTACCCTCTGTTCAATTATTCATTAAGCTTTTATTAGTACCAACTATATGTCAAATATTGTTCTGGGGAATATAAAGACCAAAAAAAAAAAGAAAGAAAGAAAGGAAGAAATAGTATCTTCCCTCAGAGCTTATCTGCTCTAGGGAAGATAACAGGTACACATATAGGTACATAAAAATTATATTTAAGTAGCAGTTGGGAGGCAGCCTTGAGTTAAACATTCAAGAAAACTCAATATTCTAAGAGGTGGAAATAAGAGGGAAAGTGTTCTAAGCACGGGAGATGGCCTATGTAAAAGCAAGGAGATGAGAGAGAGATCACCGTGTGTGAGGAACAGTGAAAAGGCCTGTTTGGCTGGATTGGAGAATACGTGAAAGGGAGGAGGTATGGGATCAACCTGGAGAGGTAGGCCTGAACAGAGGAGCTGTAACGAAGAGTCTAATCTGAGAAGTGATGGGAAGGCATTGAAGCTTTCGGAGTAGGTAAGTGAAATGGTCAGACTATTTTAGGAATATTACACAAGGTGGAGAATGGATTGGAGTAGGGAGAGATTTGAAGGCAGCGAGACCAATCAGGGCAGCTAGGTGGTGCAATGGAGACAGGGCCAGGCCTTGAACTCTTTCTGAGTTCAAACCTGGCCTCAGACACTTACTAGCTGTGAGACCCCCCTGGGCAAGTCACCTAACCTGGTTTGCCTCAGTTTCCTCATCTGTAAAATGAGCTGGAGAAGGAAATGGTGAACCACTTCAGTATCTCTGTCAAGAAAATCCCAAATGAGATCACTAAGAATAGGTCATGACTGAAACGATTGAACAACCATCATCACCACCATCATAATGACCAATCAGGAGGCTACTGTGATAGTCCTTAGTCCAGGCTAGAAGCAATGAGTCCTGAATTAGAGTGGTAGCTATATGAGTGGGAAGAAACAAGGAACATTTATTTATTAAGCACCTATTATTTGCCAGGCACAGCACTCAGCACTTTATAAATATTATCTTATTTGAGCCTAACAACCACCCTGGGAGGTAAGTGCTGTTTATAATCCCTATTTTACAGATGAGAAATCTGAGGCAGGTAGAGGTAAAGTGATTTGTTCAGGATCACACAGCTAGTAAGTATGTGAGTTGGATTTGAACTCGGGTCCTTTTGACTCGAGGTCCAGTGTGCCATCTACCATGTCACCTAATGGCTTTGGAAACAGCTAGAAGAACATCGATACGACCTGGTAGTCGGCTGAATATGGTGGGGGTGGGAGGGTGAGAGGGTGAGGGGAGATTGTGAACCTGCTGCTCCTTTAAGTGTGAGGGGAAGTGGCAGTGCACAGGGCACCTGCTCTGGTCCAGAGGCAGCAGGCTAGAGAGAGACAGGAGCAAAGGCCCAAGTGTCCAGATTCATACACCTTGTTCCTCCCCCTACTACCTGACAAAACTTCATTGCATACTGAAGAATTGCAGAATATTACAACTAGACAGGCTCTTAAAAACATCGAAACCAGCTGCACCAATGTAATAAAACTGACAATAGGGGAAGAACAAAGGAACACGCATTTATTAAGTGCCTACTGTGTACCAAGCACTGTGCTAAGCATTTTGGAAATATCTCATTTGGTACTAAGCTAATTTACAGATTTAGTACTATATCAATCTACTACTTTATGGAACTAGCCACAATAAAAACAGATTTATTTTAGAAAGACAAAAAGTCTAGAATCTCAAGGAAAATAATAGGGAAGAGTGGGAACAATGGGGGCAATACATTTCTAGACCTCAAATTATACTATAAAGAGTAATCATGAAAGCTACTTAATACTGATTAAAAAACAGAAAAAAGATCAGTGAAACAGATTAGCTGAGAATCAGAAATGACTAAACACAATTACCCAGTGGCTGGATAAACCCAAATTACTTATGGAAGAACTCTAATTTGACAATAACTGCTCAGAAAAATGGAAAGCAGTATGGCAGGAATTAGATTTGGGCCAACTATCCTATACCATTTACCCAATATACTCAACATGGTTATATAACTTGAGTAAAGGTCACACTATAAAAAATGAGAAGAGAACCAGATTGAGTACCCTTCATAGCTATGGTTAGGAGATTCTTAAGCAAACAAGAGACAGAAGTAATCATAAAAGATAAAAATAGATTTGTACAAAGCTTTTACACTAACAAAAATCAATGCAAGTAGGATAAGAAGGGAAGTTTTTGATTGGAAAAAAAATCTTTGCATCAAATATCTCTAATATCTAAGAAGTATTGGGAATTAATACAAATACTTAAGATAAAAAGCTATTCCTTAATGAATAAGTGGTAAATGACTATGAATAAACTGTTCTCAGAAGAAATGCAAACTATTATCAACTATATGAAAGATTATCCCAAATAACTAAGAAGAAAAATTCAATAGCCACTGCAGTGAGTGAGATAGTGAGGTGATATGGGGAGGTATGGTAGAATTGCCTTGCAGCAGTGAAGACCTAGTTGAGGTTGTGTAACATAAATTTTAGAGGACTCAGGCAGAATGGGGACTGCTGCTCTTGTTTTCCTTCCCATTCTACCCTACATTAACTTTCCTGTACGTATGTATGTATGTACATATACACGCACATATATGTATATACACATATATGTATACAAAATAAACTGGATAAGCCTCTTCCTCCATAAAAAAAAGAAGAAAAATTCAAATCAGGTTTAACCTTAACATCCATCAAATAGTCGAGGATGACAAAAGATAGTAAACAGTAAGTGTTGGAAGAGCTTCAGGAAAATAGGCATACTTTTAGTGGAACTATGAACTGGTTCAACTATTTAGGAAAGCAATTTAGGGTTATTGTAAAAAAAAAATGAGGGGGCAGCTAGGTGGCGCAGTGGATAGAGCACCAGCTTTGGGGTCAGGAGGACCTGAGTTCAAATCCGGCCTCAGACACTTAACACTCACTAGCTGTGTGACTCTGGGCAAGTCACTTAGCCCCAATTGCCTCACTGCCCCCCTACCCCCCCCCCAAATGAATAAAATATCTACTCACTGACCCAGAGAATCAGTGTGGAATGGTGGATAAAGCAATGGCCTTGGGGTCAGATGACCTGGGCTCAAATCTTTACCCTGCCATCTTGCTCTCTCTCTACTACCTATGTGACTTTGGGAAAATTACCTCTGTGCACCTTAGTTTCCTCATTTGTAAAATAAGGGGGTTTGACTAAGTGACCCCTAAGGTTCTTTTCAGCTTGAAATCTATGATCCCACTGCTAGGCAACTATCTCATAGGCAGAAAGGATAGAAAGAAAAGTCTCACATACACTAAAATATTTATAATAAGATTTTTTTTTTTGGTGGGAGCAAAGAAGTCCAAACAAGATATATTCTCATTGATTGGGGAATGACTAAATAAATTGTAGTACATGACTGTGAAGGCCCCCATTACTGTGCCATAATAAATGATCAATATGAAAAATCCAGAGAAATAGCAATACTTACATCAACTGATACACAGAGCCAGGAAAAAAAAAAACCTATACCAAGACTACAATATTAATGGAAAGAACAGAAAACCAAAACTGAACACTGTGTAATAAATAGCTAAGAGAAGAGATGAGTGGACCTCCCTTCCTTCTGGGCGGTGGTGGAGGACTGGGAGTATGGAACAGTACATGTACTGTATTGTCCTGACCTCAAATCTGTCCCCTCAATGCTCCCAGTTCTGCCCCTGAGAGCCACGCACAAATCCAATCTTTCTTCCACACAATGGCCTTTCAGACACTTGAATTAAAGACTCCCAGTTCCTTCAATCAACATTCAAAAGGCATGATCTAGCATCCCTTTATCATCCTTGACAATAGATGATCTGATTTACCAATGAACTGAATATAAGCTCCTGGTGTGTTTTGACCAGGGCAGAGTACAGTGGGACCAATAACCTCCCTGGTACTAGAATTCCCAATGAAGAAACAGAGAATGAAGGGGCAGCTAGGTGGCACAGTGGATAGAGCTCCAGCCTTGGAGTCAGGAGGACCCGAGTTCAAATCTGGCCTCACACACTTGATACTGCTAGCTGTGTGACCTTGGGCAAGTCACTTAATCCCAATTGCCTCACTTAAAAAAAAGAAAGAAGAAAGAAAGAGAGAATGAAGGGAGTTGGGTGAGTTGCCCAAGGTCACACAGTTGGTAAAATGGTAGAGGAAAGATCTCTGAAGCCAGTACTCCCTGAACGTTCCTGTTGCTTCTTAGACTGGAGGCTCTGACCTTACCAGGGTTGATGAGTTCCAGGGCGGAGAGAGAGAGAGAGAGTGAGAGAGAGAGAGAGACCTTATTTTTCTACAGCTAGGGGTGTGCTGGTAAATGTTTAAAAACTAGTTCTCTGGTGGGGAGAAAAGTACATACAACATACTTAAGTTTAATCTACATTATTAAAAATTTTTCCATCACTTTCTTAGATCCAGACAATCAATGGAATAATAAATCAAGCACTGACCTGTAGTGTCTGCCAATTTCTGAGATATAAATGCTCACCCTGAAAATTTAATAATTAGCTCTTATGTGCTGGTTTGAACTGGCTCTAACACACCCCTGCCTGTAGCTCTTTCTTTAAGTCATGTACTCTCAGATGCTTGGCGGAGGGCCTGGAAGATCAGACAGGAAATTGATGTCTTGTTCACTCACCTCCATGAAAATGTCAGATATGTCATGCAGCAGTAACACCAAGGTACCAATGCGCAGGAGATTGGCAGAATAAGAGAATCCAATCAAGATGATCGTGACAAGGTGGTGGATGACCTGCTCCTTTAAGTCCTGGGAAGAGGAAGGCAGCCATCACACCAGGACCACTGAGACTGGCCAAGTCTATACCTAGGGTCAGACCCTCCTATTCAGGTGCCAAGGAGTAGCCACAGTGAAGAAGTCCGGGTCTGCCAAGGGTCATCAGATACACTCCAGATGAGGCCCAGAGAAGACAGGTAGGAAGAGGAGGCCCAGAGGAAGAGAGGAGACATTGGGAGAGAGTTGGAGACAAGGCAAAGTGTAGATTTGGTGAGAGGCTGACAGGCTAGGTTTCCCTGAACTCCAGAGGGGAGGCACTAAAATTGGCACCCAAGTTCCAGGAATCTCTTGCCCAGTCTCTGGCAGAGCATGCTGAGCTTTGGCTGACCAGACCTGCTTCCATGGGCCAAGTCCTTGTGCCCGGCCTCTTTAGAGCCAAAGCCAAACTTGATACTTTCCCAAGGTATGAAGAGTTGGCCCCTCCATCAGACTAAAGGAATGGGGACTTTCCCCTCTACCTGGGCTCCCCCCTAGGTTTGTTTTACATCCTCTACATTTTTCAAAGGCCACCCAAAATCCTTTGGTGGGCCGTGTGTTGTGCAGGCCAGCCCCAGACTCACCTTTCTCTTAACATCAAAGGGTAGAGTCAGCAGCAAAGAGAGGTAGAAGCCAAGTTCAAGGAGGTACCACCAGTACATGGCAGGCTGTAGTGGCTGAAGGTCAAAGAAATAATGTGGTTAGATGGAGTGGACTGGATATAGAACTAGAAAAGACAGAACTGTTTCATGGGGCTAGGGATGCTATGTGGTACCTTCTCTGCAGAAGGCACAGAGGTCACCAGAGACCTGTCCCCACCTACGTCACATCATGACACACTAATTTCCTTTAATGAAAGGGTTACAAGACTGGAAAATTGGGGAATGCCACAGATAGGGTGTGCCCAGATTCTAACCAAGCATTTATCAATAAATCCCTCATTTAATTCTTGTGGAAAGAGACAAAATGTAAGCTAGATAACAATACAGTTAGGAAGATTCATGACTGGTTGAATAGTTGGGCTCAAAGACTAACCATTACTAGTTCAACTTGTAAAGAGGTCTCCAATGGGATACCCTAAAGATCTATGCTTTGCTCTATTGCCATTGAAATTTTATTTTAAAAAAATCACTAATTTTGATAAAGCCACAGATTGTACGCTGATAAACTTGCTTGACAAGCACCGAATGAGTCAGGATTCAAAAAGTTTCTGACAGGTTAGAACGTTTGACCAAATGTAATGGAGATAATGTAAACTCTAACATAGGTTCAAAAAATCAACTCCACAGTTAAGTAGGGATGGGGTGGCTACATAGCAAATCACCTGAAAGAGATCTAGGGTCTTTACTGGACTGGAAGCCCAAGATGAGTTAATAGTCAAGAAAGCTGCTATTCTATTATGGTGCATAGAGAGGCTTAGTTTTTGGGACTAGTCAAGTGATAGCGCCACTGTGCTGTGCTCTAGGCCCCATTTAGAATATCATGTTCAGTTCTGAATGCCACATTTTCAGCAGAGGGATGAAGTAAAAGGAGTCCAGGAGGGTAATCAATATGGCAGAGGGCCTTGAAATCCTGTCATATAAGGATCTGTTCAAGGGACTGAAGATGCTTAGTAAGGAGAAGAGATGAAAGGGAAGAGGGGTCAGTGGGACCTATTTGGATATTGTGATAACTGTAGTTAGGTTTTTGAAGGGTTTTCATATGCAGAAGGTATTAGACGTGGTCCCCTTGGCCCCCAGAGCGAAGAAGTTGAAAAAACAATGGGTTAAAGCTATAGGATTTAGGGCAGATTTTGACTTGTTGCTGGGAAAGACTTCCTAACAATCAGAGATGTCCTAAAGTGGAATGGGAGGGCCATAGGAGGTAATGGATTCCTCCTGTATTTCGGGGATTCTGGTTCAGGTATGGATTGGATTAAATGGCCTCCGAGATCTTTTCCAACTTTGAGATTCTAAGATTCTTTGTGGAAATCTGTTTAGCTCCAAGGCCTGTTTGACTGGGCATCTCAGTCACCCATCCTTATTCTTGGGATGCTTACCTGGAAGGGGTATCTATCCCAGCAGGTCTTGGGCTCCCACAACCATGTTTCCTGGAAAATAAATAAAGGATGAGTTTCAGGAAACCGCCCTCAGCATCACCAGCTCCTATAGGTAATAGCTTTGACCTGTAATTCTGGGGCTGCCCCCAGGGAACTCCAAGCACTCAACAGAAATGATCTCAACCCCACTTAACAGCATGTTTTGCAATTATCTTGGCCTCCCCCTTCTTCATTATCTCACGCTGTAAGAAGGTCAGAGTTAAACCTGGGCAAAACCTGATCTGAGAGGAGGTTAGATGCCTGCCTCCTGCTATCATACTCCCCCTCCCTCCTAAAGTGAAGGTCTCACCATGTCAAAATTCCAATGGCTTCCTATTACCTCCAGGATCAAGTATAAAATCTCTGGAAAGCCTTCCAAAACCTGGCCCCTTCCTATTTTTCGAGTCCTACATTTTCTCTACCTTTACTTCCCTCCAAATACTCTATGATCCAGTGATGCTGGCTTCCCTGCTGTTCTTTGAACAAGACACTCCATCTTCCAAGTCAGTGCATCTTCACTGGCTCTCCCCCATGTCTGGAATCCTCTCCCTCTTCATCTCTGCCTCCTAATTTCCTTCAGATCTCAGCTAACATCCCAGTGCCTTCTATCTGAGATACCTTCAATTTACCCTGTATATGTCTGGTTTATATATAGTTATTTGCACGTAGTCTCCATTAGAATGGTAGCTCCTTGAGGGAAGAACTAGTTTTGCCTTTTTTTGAATCTCAGCTCTTAGTACAGTGCCAGGTGCATGGTAAGCACAACGATTGTTTGTTGACTGACTTTGGGCCATCTGTTGGCTCTGGCAACACATGATGGCTGGGCAATCTTTATTCACCTCCTAGCTATGTTTCTGACTCTCTGGACTTCAACAACTCCCTCCCTTCCCACCCCCAACCTTCATTCCCTAGCCTGATTTTTAGCTTCCTTTTTGTATGTCTTCTCCCATTACAACATAAGCTTCTTGAGGGCAAGAGCTGTCTTTTTGTTTATATTTGTATTGCCCAGTGACTGGCACATAAATTGACCACCCGATCATTCTGCCTGTCTCTCTACCTCTTTCTATTCCCAGTATGGCCTTGTTTCCCATCATACTTGGTTCAATCCTGTGTATGGGTCCCTATTTGGGTTTCCAATCCTTTTTGATCATGCTGGCCAGTCATGCTACAGGCCTCCCAGAGAGGCTGCGGCCAGGCTGGCATCTCCCTGACTCTCAGAGACTTGGAGGAGGAGTACGGGGTGGGAGAATCGTGAACCATGAGATGGGAAGGGGCAACAGTGTAATTGCTAAGGTTGGAGGAGGACATGATAGAGGTGATGGAGACAGGAGGAGATGGAGAAAAAGGACAGAGGGGGATAGAATGGAATGGAATGGAGGATCAGGGAGAAGGATGAAAATGAGGACAGAATTGATAAGAAAGTATAAGAGGATGGAAGGAGAGGAACAAAGAGTATGGGGTCATAAAAAGGTTGAAAAGGTGGGGAGAGACAGGATGGGAATGGAGGGGATAAGAGAGAAAGAGAAAATGAAAAGAAAAATAAAGGGAAATGAAGAATATGCAGATGTAGAGGATGGTGGAGCAGAAAAAATGGGGAAGACTAGCAAGAAGAGGGATGAAGAATATGCCAACAGGAGGGAACAAAGAAGCAAGGGATGGATGGAGAAGATGAGCGGTCAAAGGAGAGGGATGGAAGAGGTCATAATAGTGTGAGGGGGAGGGATAAAAAGGATGGAGTTGGAGAGGATGACAGCACAGAAAAGGTCCAGAAGGTGAAAGGAAGAGGAGAACAGAAGTGGAGGAAGGGATGAGAAAAAGAGGGGGACAGAGGAATCTGTGGTGAGGATGAGAGAGGACATACTCACATTGTACAGCACGAGGAAGCCTCCAGAGAAAGAAGAGAAGTAAAATAAAAATCTCCAACTGAAAATACAGAACAGAATATGGACTAAGTTTGGGGAGCCCCAGTCCAGGGGTAGGAGAGATGAAGGAGAGGATGGATAGAAAGGGCTATATTTCGAGGGAAAGGTAAAACAGACTAAAAAAATAGGACCCTCCCCTCCCGGTTTCCTAATTAGGCATGTACCCCCAACCCACACCTTGGCCTGGTTCCCTTTAATGGGCAGCACTCCCCAAGGCCCTCCTGAGCTCACCAGGATTCACAGAATTTCTTGCTCAGTAACGGTCGCTCCTGGTTTCTCCGGCGCCGAAACCAGCGTTGGGCCTGCCTCACAGAGAGGCCGCATTGGCTGGCCAGGTGACTCAGCTGAGCCTGGGGACAGAAGGACAGGGAAAGGGGATAGGAGGAGAAAAGGGAAGACCTAAGCTCCCAGTGATAGCGGGGAAGATGTCCCCTCCCTCAAGCTCACTCAGGCCACTGCCCTCCTCATTAAGTTGCCACTCTGCCTCCAGGAACTTGGAACCTCAGATCCTGGTGAGGACTACACCACAGGGCTTGAGGGTCCAGGGGCTGGTCTTTGGGGTCAGAGTTAATGCATCTGCTTCCTCCCTTGCCAGGGAGGGCAAGTCCCCATAATAAAGCATTGACCAAGTCACACCCAGGAAGGAAGGAGGTGGAAGTTGGGGCAGGGCCATGTGCTGGGGAAATCTCCCCTAAAAGAAACCTCCTTGAGAACTTTAGAATAGGGGCTTTCAGAGCTGAGAGGATCCTCAGAGATTTTCAGGTCTAACTTTTTTCTACTCCCTAGTTTTACAGATGAGAAAACTGAGGCCCAGAGAGTTGAATTGACTTGTTCAAAATCATCCAGGCAATTAGTGGAAGAAATGGGATTACAGAGCACTGGCCCCAAGTTCAAATCCAGCCTCAGACATATAACACTTACTAGCTGAGTGACCCTGGGTAAGTCACTTAACTCCACTGCCTAGCCAAAAAAAAAAAAAGAAAAGAAAAGAAAAGAAAAGGGATTACAACAAGTTTTCTGGACTTCTAGTCCTCTCTGATGTTGGAGACTGGTAGATTTTGGTACTTAGATCAACCTGAGGCTGAGTCCATACTGGGCACTTACTTAACCCCTCCAATGGACTGATGAACAGCAGAGATTTCCCACAGGGAAGAGTTTAGGCACCCAAGATTCCTTAACAGCATCCAATCCTCAGACCTGCTCACCTCTTTTGGATCCTTATCATGGGTCCGGAAAAAGGACTCCAGGATGGGGTTGGGGGCAGCCTTGACCCTGAGACGATCACGAATACCCAAAGCCCTGCTCAGGGGCATTGCAATGACCCTAAGAGAAGAGACAGGAGCATGTGAGTACCAAGTACCCTTGTCCCCATCTCTGGTCTTCTGGGAGCTCTTTTTGCCAGATCCTGCCCACCAGTTGACCTGCCCCAGCTTACTCATACAGCCTGCAGGAGGTGGAGCATGGGGGGATGTGATGGGGCTTTGTGAACAGGGGAGAAAGGGGCAGGGGCAATTATAGGGAGATAAATCTAAGCAGAACTCTGGGATGTTCGGAAGGGGAAAGGAGCAGCCCTGCAAATGGGTTCCTGATCACAAGAGCCCCCTGAGATGCGAGGCCACAGCCAAAGAGCAAACATTCTCCTCCTCTCAATTTCAGCAAGCATTTATTAAGTGGCTATTGTGTGTAAAGCCCTATGCTCAGTGCAGAGATATATACTTCAGAGCCCACAGTCCAGTAGAGGGATAAAATACCAACACAGCTATGTATAATATGCAATATCACATAGTAAGTGCATCAAAGCAGTGAAAAGAAAGGGAACCTTCCAAGAGGGAAAGTTATTACCAACATTGGGGGTCAAGTTGGGGAAGGCTTCCTGGAGGAGGAGGAGGCATTAGAGTTGGTCTGTAAGGATTGGAAATGAATTTAACAGGCAATTAAAGAGAGGAGGATATTCCAAGTTGTGGGTAGATGTGGGAGTGTGCAAAGGTGTTGTCCAGTTTAACTGGAACCTCATGTACATGGAGGAGAGTAAGGAAGTAAGATCCACCCCACTTAATTTTTGTGGTCCAATAATATTCCACGTGGTTTATATACCCCCATCTCATGGAATTGCTAGGAGAAGAAATGATTTGTGAGTCCTTCTGTCAAAAGGCATGGTACATGGGAAACAGCCTATATGGCTGAGAGCCAGAGGGGATTAGGTTGGAATCTTAGCTCGGCTACTTATTGACAATATGACTTTGAGGGAAGTCATTTCATCTTTCTAGGACTTAGTTTCCTCATCTGTAAAATGATTGGGGTTGGACAAGCACGGTCTAGTTCAAGGGTCCTTAACCTAGAGTCCACAGACCCTCAAGGATAGTCTGAGAACTTGGATGAAATATATCTTTATTTCAATATAACTGGTTTTGGAACACCAGCCTTGAAGTCAGGAGGACATGAGTTCGAATCTGACCTCATACACTTAGTATCTGTCTGACCCTGGGCAAGTCACCTAAACCCTATTGTCTTAAAACAAACAAACAAAAACAACCGGTTTCCTTTGCGATCTGATCATTTTATTTTATGCATTTAAAAAGATTTTTCTGAGAAGGGAGTCACAGGCTCCCCTAGACTGCCAAGGGGGCTCACGGACCTCAAGTCTAGTGGAAAAAAGTGTTGAGTCAAAGGTCCAAGGATCAAATCACATGCAACTTCTTGTTACCTGCATTACCTTGGGCAAGTCTCTTCATCTACTGGGCCTCAGTTTCCCCATTTGCAAATTAAGGGGGTTGAGCTTGATGGTCTCTGAGGTCTCTTCCAGCCTTAGAGCTATGATCCTGTGTAAAAGAAGTTGGCTGGGCCCGATGGCTTTTTACAGCTCCTTCCAGCCCTAATTCAATGAGCTAGAGCCACAGAAATAGGTACGAATTATCTTAATTGGCTTCAATCTAAAACTGCTTTGGTATGGGGACTCGAATTCTTGTAGGGTGGAAAAGATCTCAGAGGTCACTTTAGTCCATCCCATTCTCCCAAATAAATATCAATAATAAGAGCAATAATAATGATAATAACAGTAATGATGATAGCTAGCATTTATATGGGGCTTTAAAGTTTATAACGTGATTTACATATTAATCCACTTGATTTTCATAACCACCCTGTGAGGTAGGTGAAATTTATCATTCTCATTTTATAGAAGGGGACACTGAGGCACAGCGTTTAAGTGACTTGTTTAGAGACACATCTGATAATTAATTATCTGAGGGATGAATAGTCTTCCTGACTCCAAATCCTGCCCTATCCAATGAGGTGCCCAAAAACTGCCCAAAGATTCCTTCAACATCCCTCTGTGACTTAAGTTTTCTGTAATAAATTCAACTCAATAAATGTTTGACTGGACTAGGGAAGGTGCATCTCAGTGACCAACAGACAACAATTGACACAATCCTTGTGTAAGGATCAGGTTTGCTTTGAACAGGTTGCTAAGACCCAACAGACAAATCTCCTGAGGGCCAACTCTTTGGTGATGAACCCCTCTGACCTTCTCTTGGCTTTTGGTTTTTGGACAGTATCTCAGCCTGTTGCCCAAAGGCCCTTCTAGTTCAGGGGGCAAGCCAGAACTTGCCCTACACTTACATAGCCTATAAAAACTAAGGATCACTACCAAGCTACAATAAATCATCAGAGAAGGACCTGAATATGACACAGAGCCCCTTGTGGACAATTATTAACATTTTCTTGGAAAGTATTCATTCTTTCCTTATATCAGTTGTAAATTCATGGGCCTCTTTGTTTATGTGGCAAACCTTTCTCCATTTTTATAATGGAAGTCAATGGGAAAACAGGATCTGGTTAAAAAAAGTTTTCTTTGCCTTCCCTATCCTGGAATGCATTGATTCCTCTGCTGTGGTATATCACAGCTATACCTGGTGGCTGGCAGTCCTGAAGAGGGGAGGTATATGGAGCTATTAGCTCATGTGAGGGATTTATTGAGCCTGGAAAACTGACAAATTGCCCTTTTTTTGGTGCTCAAAGATGATTATCTTGGTTCTATTAAAAATGCCTTCTTTTGGCCTGGTCAGAGGCTATGATGAGGGTAGGAACCACCAGGATAAAAAGGATGACCCTTCCCCCTTCAGTACCGAAGGTCAGCAGAGCATGTAAGACTACTCCCATTTGTCCTCCTATTGGTTCTAATTCTTTAGACCATGACTAATGTGAAAATATGTTTAATAGGAATGTATATGTAGAGCCTATACCAGATTGTGTGCCATCTTGGGGAGGGAGGGGAAGAAAAATTAAAACTCAAAAGCTTATGGAAGTGAATGTTGAAAACTAAAATAAATAAATTAAAAAAAAAAAAAAAGAATATTCCCATTTGGCAGATGAGAAACTTGAGCCTCCAGAGGCTAAGTAACTAGCCCAAGAAGAGACATGATTTACGAAATCAGATTGGCTCTAATTGGTTGTTATGCCATGATGGTTATTGGCAGCTATCAACATATGAATTTTTTTTTTTTTGCCCATAGGTGCCCATGTCCCAGGACCAACAGGGATGGAAACCCACAATTGACTTACCTCTCAAAGCCAAATCTGATGACCATTAAGACCAATGCTATGGGAATGGATGCCAGCAGGTCCCTGGGGTGAGGGTAGGTGACCCCATCTGAATCCTCTGTGTCAGCCCATGAGTATCCAGGAGGGAACCAGTACTCATCCTTCCAAAACCACTCATACAGGCTGGTCAGCATCCTAGAGGCAAAAGGCCAAGAATTTTACTGGAAACATCCCTAGAGGGAGGAGACACAACATTGGCAAAGGAGAGCATGTGTTGGTTAATCAAAAACTGAGAGTCAACATACAAGGATCATTGATTTTGGAAAGGGAGAATGTCATAGATAACGGGGACCTTACCTTGAGGGAAGTCCAACCCCCTTATTTTACAAAGGGCAAAATTGAGGCCCTAGGAGAGGAAGGAATTTGTCCATGGTCACAAAGCGAGTCTGGTACCCAAATCTGACTCCCTGACAGATGTCACTAGCCACCTTTAGGCCACCAGAGTGATGGGCATCATCTAATACATTGGCTGTTGCCTAATCTCCCTTGGCACCAGAGACACTGGTGTTCCAGACTTTGTCCAGCACCTTCCAGCTCCTAGCTTGGCCCAGTTGTGATTCCATTACTGATTGGGGAGATCGCAGGGGTTGGGAAAGGCAGCTCCCTGAAAGGGAAAGAGACTCTAAAACAACAGATATAGGAGAGCCCATGGAAGATAGAATGTCAAAAAGAATATCACAATCTAGAATGTTAAGAGCTGGGAAGGAATTTAGAAGGTAGGTGGGACTTTGGTGCGAGGGTGCTCAATCTCATACATTGGTTGCAGAGTACAATTACATTCATTTAGAGCCATAGCTCCAGGTTGGCTCCTGGGACTGGTTGGTCCAGGAGGCCAGTGCCATCACTGGTTTTTTCCCTTACAAACCTGAGTAGGAGGCCCAATTTCTGCTAGGCAGAGGGTCCTTTGGAAAGACAACAGGTGGGCCTCAGAACAGGCTGATCCCTCCAAGTTTTCCAGATGAGGGATAATCCTTTTGGTGGCCTAGAAGCTAAAATTAGCTCAGCTGTCTAGGAGAAGGGGCTTAGGGCTTCACTGACACTCCCCAGCCCAGGCCAAGAGTGAGCAAAGGCCCTTGGATCAAGGAGGGAGAGGTGCTGGGATGGTGCGATAGCCTCAGACACACCAGGCTCTGCCTAGTGGGGGGTGGTTTCCTGGACTTCCCTGGAGGGAGCCAGAGGAAGTGCTGAGGATGGAGTTGTGTTGAAAAAGTCAACCAGAGATAGAGACGAAGAATACAACGTGACATCTGCCCACAGCCAGCTGTGCCCCTTGCTTTCACTACCTTCTCTCCTCCACAGCTCAGGAAGCCTTCCTTGACCTGTCCTAAACACACTGGGCCTTTCTGGTCTCAGTCTGTTAGACCTGAAAGGAGTTTTAAGGTCTATCAAACTCAATTGGGCCCAGACTTTAGAAATGGAGGACCTGGGTTTGAATTCCAACTCTTACTACCTGTGCGATTTTGGACAAATCATTTAACCTCTCTGTGCCTCAGTTTCCTCATCTGTAAGATGAATGAGTTGGACTAGATGACCTCTGAATTCCTTTCTACCTCTAAATTCCTGACCTTGTTTCTAAATAAACAGAGGCCCAGAGAAGGGACGGACACACAGCAAGCTAGAGGCCCAGGTTCAGGGTTCTGTCCTCAGCCTCCCTTTCCCCCACATTTAGTCAGGAACCAAGACCTGTCTGTTGTACCCCAATCAACCCCCTACCCTAGACTAACCTGTTCTTATTACAGCCCCCTAACTTACCTCTCTGCTTTCAACAATTCTTACACAGGATATCAGTGAAGCCCAGCTCTTCTAGGAAGTCTTCCTGAACTCTCCCGGGCCACAGAATCCTCTCTAACGCCCTCATCCCGGAGTAGTGTGAATGCTAATGCTGCCCTTCCTCACACATAAGTATCTGCCTAAGAGAATGGAATGGAAGGATCACCTGGTTCCAGTTGAGATGTCGGAGAAAGTAGGCACCCTCACCGTTCCAAGAGATCAGGTCGGCCAGACTCACATGGGCGATCCTTCCTCTAATGAGGCTCAGTGGGGAGGGCTAGGCTTCAGAACAGCCACTCCAACCCTCCCCTATCAGCCCTCCCTGGCCCCACCCCTTGCTCCGCCCCTCCCAGCCCCCGGCCCTTCCCTAAGCCTCATCCATAGGCTGATGCCACCGGAATTCAGAAATGTGAAGTCCCCAGGCCCCAGTTTAAGGTCTTTGGGCCGCTAGGCACCATGAGAATTCAGTTTTCTCCCTAGTGAAGTGGAGGTGGGCGTGGGATTCTAAAGCCTTATCTGCAGGATCCACTCACGGACCATTAAATTGGGAGGGTCTTTGTGGCCCGTTCACACCCTCCAATTTTCTTAGGCTCCCTCCACCTACCTCAGCTCACTTCACGTGGGAGAGAATGAGATGGGGGGGCAGGGGGACAAGAGAGTGAGAGTAAGCTCCTTGACAAAGCCCTCAACACTAAGTGCCTCCAAATTTCTCTGTAGTCTGATCTCAGACCTCGTCATTCAACTAAAACTGCTTTCTTCAAACTTCTTGAGATATTAAATATCTTATTTTTCCCAATTACATGTAAAAACAAATTTTAACATTTTTTTTTCAAAATTTTGAGTTCCAAATTCTCTCTCTTCCTCCTTGAGAAGGCAAGCAATTTGGTTATACATGTGCAGTCATGCAAAACCTATTTTCATATTAGTCATGTTGTGAAAGAAAACACAAGCAAAAAAAAAAAAAACAAACCACCCAAGAAAAGCAGTTAAAAAATAGTGTGCTTCAATCTGCATTCACTCTTATCTGTTCTTTTTCTGGAGATGAATAGCATTTTTCATCACAAGTCCTTTGAAATTATCTTGGATCATTGTACAATATTGTTGTTATTGTGTACAAGGTTCTCCTGGTTCTGCTCACTTAACTCTGCATCAGTTCATTTTCTAAGCCTTTCCAGGTTTCTGAGAGCATCCTGCTCATCATTTCTTACAGCACAATAGTATTCCAACGAAATCATATACCACATGTACCAATCAGCCATTCCTCAACTGATGGGCATCCCTTCAACTTCCAATTCTTTGCCCCCACAAAAAGAGTTGCTATAAACATTTGTGTACATAGAGGTCCTTTTCCTTTTTGTTTTTTATCTCTTTAGGATACTGACCCAGTAGTGGGATTGCTGGGTCAAAGAGTATGTATGCTTTTATAGTCCTTTGAGCATAGTTCCAAATTGTTCTCTAGAATGAATCAGTATACAACTTCACCAACAGTGCATTAATGTTTTAATTTTTCCACATGCCCTCCAACATTTGTATTTCCCTTTTCTGTCATTAGACAATCATAGGTGTGGGTTGGTTCCTCAGTTGATTTAATTTGCATTTCTCTGATCAATAGTGATTTAGAGCATTTTTTCATGACTATAGATAGCTTTGATTACTTCATCTGAAAACTTCCTGTTCATATCCTTGGACCATTTATCAATTGGGGAATAACTTGTATTCTTACAAATTTGACTCTACATATTTGAGAAATGAGACCTTTATCAGAGAAACTTCATGTAAAATTTTTGTCAGTTATGGTTTCTGTTTATTTCCCTCCACTCTATTTTCCCTGTTCAATCTACTCTGTCTCTCCTTCCACCCTGTCCATCCTCAAAAGTGTTCTGCTCCTGACTATCATCTCCCTCAATCTACCCTCCCTTCGCTTATCTCCTTCCCCTCCTACTTAGGATAAGAGAGTGTACATTATTCCCTCTCTTAGTCAATTTTTGAAGAGTAAGATTCAAGTGCTCCTCCCCCATCTTCTCCTCCCGAGTCAAAGCTCCCTTTCAACCTTCTTTTATGTGGGATAATATACCCCACTTTACCTCTCCCCTCCCCCTTCTCCCAGTGCATTCCTCTCTCACCCCCCTCCCTTTTTAAAAAAGATATCATCCCATCATATTCAACTTATGCCAGTACCCTCTGTCTATGTATACTCCTTTTAACTGCCCTAATAATGAGAAAGTTCTTAGGAGTTACAACCATCATCTTCCCATGTAGGAATGTAAACAGTTTAACCTTATTTACTCCTTATGATTTCCCTTTCCTGTTTACCTCTTTAGGCTTCTCTTGAGTCTTGTATTTGAAAAGTCAGAATTTCTATTCAGCTCTGGTCTTTTCATCAGGAATACTTGAAAGGCCTCTATTTCATTGGATACCCATTCCCCCCCCCCCCCCCCCGAAGGATTATACCCAGCTTTGCTGAGTAAGTGATTTGCTTGTAATTCTAACTCTTTCTTTCATTCACACAGTCACCACCCCAGAACAAGCCCTCTTCACCTCTTGCCTGGACCAAGAACCTTCTGACTGGCTCTCTGCCTCACTTCTTGCTCCCCTCCTCTCCAACTGGAACTCAGCTGTCAGTGAGTTTTTAAAAGTGAAGTTCTGCCCCACCCTTGCCCAATTAGTTCCAGGGACTCCGTATTACCTCCAGGATCAAATAAAATCCCTCTGGTTGGTTATAAGCTAGCCCCTTCCTACCTCTCCAGCCTTCTTAGTCCACAATACGGTTATCCCTTCCACATTGAGGGGGTTAGGGGTGCAGCACTCCCTTTGATCTGGAAAATCCCTGTAAAATATTTTGGCCCTCCCTTCGTACCAGAGAAGTCTGAATGTTTTTTTTTTCTTTTATGGGGTGTTTGATATTAAAAGATAAACTATGTTGATAATATATAATACTATACATATATTTTATGCACTTCTGAGTTTCTAAACTTTTTCTGTGTGGTCTGCTGGCCTTCACATGTTGTCTCTGAATTCCAAAAAACTCCCCAAATATTCCCATCTAATTTCTTATGCCCGCCCACTATATATTGAAATAGAGATGGGGAAAGTCTCCATGGGGAAGGGATAACCGTACAAACCCACGTAGCCTAAGCTAAGGCCTTGTTTTGGTTGGGTTCAATTAGAGAAGATAATGTGGAACAAATAGAAAAAGTGCTATCTTACTAGAGTACTCGATCCATCTGTGAGAATTCCAAATGGTAAAGAATAAACTTGGGTTACTTCTAATCTAGCCACACCCATTCTGATATATTAGCCAACTGTACCCCCAAAGCCTCCCAACGTACTTCAAGAAACAATATTGCCCAGGTCTTCAGCCCTTT